GAAAGAATTTTGGCAATCCAACCAGCAGCGGTTCCAAAGATTACCGCCTACATACAAACTTACAAATGTTACCTCTTTATAATATTATAGTATAGTATATAGTATAATAGTAATAGTATAGAAGTAAAGATTTTTCACTGACATTAGCAAATATTATCAATTTTATATCGCACATGTCGGTGGTAAATGCTATATGATCTTATTCATTTAATGTTATATTTGGTGCCAGCGGCTTTAGCCACAGTTATAGGGTAAAAAGCAAGAAAATTTATTATTGCAGACTATAATCTCTCCGTACCAAAGTCAAATTTCATTCGGATCCATTGAATAGTTTTAACGTCAGACAGTAAAAAATTTACAGTGCGTCCATTTTTCAAAACTTACGAACTTTCCAACTTTCGCATTTATAATATTAGTAAAATGAAAAAATGTAATCGAACTAATCTTGTATCAGCCCATAAAAGCCTTGCTAATCAAAAAAGGAGAACGAATTTCATATTCAAAAGCTTACTATTAAACCAATAAAGTCTAACTAAAACAAAATAATTTACTATAACTACGAGTATACGTAGTTTGTCCTTCAAACCGGCATTCATATGAAGTTTAGTAGGTCAAGGTCACGTAGTTCTACCTTTTATTTTATTTACTCAAATGTGTTCGACATTTTGCTGTCAACAATGTGGCGTGTTTGTTTGCGCACCACTACTATTATTTTATTTGTATATTATAATATCTCATTTCTTTCAGATTTGATTTAGACTACGGTTTATCATTTCCGTTTTAACATCAAAGATGGTGTAATTTCAGTAAGGAAAATCTGACCTGCTCCTCATAGACGATCTCCTTTTCAATATCCTTGATGCAATGCTGGAATACGGCTTCGTCCAGGCGGAACTCCAGGCGCATGAGGTGGGGAGGTGCCTTGTCCAGCAGTGACCTCCAGCGCTGCTGCAGCTGTTCTACTGTCTGGACTACGAAGGGACGATCTTCTTCGTTCACCAGCTGGAAGTTGGAAATGGTTAGATACACTGATATGCAATTGAGATTGTGTCTGTAAGTTGGAGATTCCTAATGCTAGTACAATAATATGGAATGGCTACTATGAGCGCTACTTAGATGACTAGAGATATTAGAGACTAGTAGATAAATTGGCTATTATGACCGCAAATTTTTACAGTGTTTAGGAGTTCATAGAATTTAAAGATCAAAGATCCTGAACAAATAAAATTAAATATTTGCATGCTATTTACCATGTAGCTAAAACATGACTGTACTTATTTTGTTATGCGGAAAAATATATAATTATTATTACTGCAAAATACTTCCAAGCATCGGCAAAAATATTCATTTGGAGTCAAATCAAATTCTTTATTTCAAGTAGACAGGCACTTCTGAACGTCAAGCAAAAAGAGTCTCTTAAATATAACACCTGATGATAATAAGGCGTATTTGTAGAGAAAAGTTTTTGTTCGTATTAAAATATCAAACCAACCTCAATAAGCTCTCGGCCGGACCTGACCAATTCCGAGACGGCTCTTTCATCAGCTCCTTGGAAGAATCTCTTGTGGAAGTCTACGGCTTGTTTAGAGTCCACTCGGTTATCGGCTAAGAGTGCCTCGGCTCGTGAGGCCCACTCCTCGACCGCTCGCTTTTTGGCGTCAAAGTCATCCCAAGCACGGACTAGGCGTTGTAGGTCAGCCTCCCGACGCGTGGCTTCAGATGATACGTGAGCGAATCTGATATGATAAAAGTTTGTATCATGCATTAATTATATACTATGCTAACATTAATGAAGAAATCTTGCCTAACGTTAAAACGCTAAGAACAGAAACTAGGTCTACTATAAAGTCAAAGTTGCTACTTGCAACATTTTTCAAATATCATACATTTGTTTTACTACATATTTTACAAGTGTCTGCCAGCGGCTTCGCCCGCATTACTCCAATGACAATTAGCTTATGTACTGTTCCAGGCTATTTTTGCTAATTTTCATCGAAATCCGTTCATCCGTTTATAATTTTAGCACAATCATCATAGACTGCATTTGATTACAATAATAGTCCTAACTCGTTCTCATCTCAAGTCCAACCTTAAAATCGTGCCTCATAATACCGACTTCTTCTCCTATTCTTTCACCGTTTATGCTGTGAGACTGTGGAATTCTCTCCCGCCTAACATTCGTGACGCTAAATCGCTCGCTCTCTTCAAAAAACTAGTTAAGGACCATTACCTTTCTTCATGAGTACTTACAGTTACGTTTATTTATATGTGTATCTTATTTATTGTTATTATTATATATTAAGTATTTATATTTATATGATATATATATACATATATTACCTATTTGTTATCGTTAGTTCTTTTTTTTTCACTTTTGTTACACACTGTGTCTTATATTTTAATTACATTTCCTGTCTCAGGTCTACTGGAAGAAATTCCAACAGGAATAAGTAGCACCTTTGTACTCTTATTTTTTTATGTATTTTCCTCTGTGCTGTTTGTGTGTACATAAATTTTATTATTAAATTAAATTAAATTAGGTACATTCATATCCTTACCTCTCATTAAGGTCCCTCATGAGTCTGACTTGCTCTGTGACGTCAGCGCTCTTGTCAGCGTCAGCAGACTTGACGATGTTCTGGAAGACTTTGTTCTTGCTCTCCAGCATGGAGCGGTAGTACGTGGTGCGGGAGAAGAACGTGCGGTGGATCTCGTAGCGCTCAGAGATCACCTCACTGTGGAAGAAGCAAAGATGAAGATAAAGAATATCATTTGTATAATGGTGATGACGACTTGGCGGCTTTTTGGATGGAAAAACGTGTAACCAGATTTTTTGCATATTTCGACCGAAATTAACAGTTTTCAAAATAATGGCTTTGCTAGTTCGATTTTTTCTATTGGCTTACCTAAGTTCTTAGCTATGTGTTTCCTAACAAGGTTGTATGTTTATTTTTTGAAAATTAATATGTAAGGTATTTTAGACAATTAACATGGATAGCTGACTTACCGCCTGGTTTCTCCTCCACTCTTCAACGCCTCTTCAGCCTTGTCTAGCCAAGCGCCGATCTCCTTTTGTCCGCTCTCCAACGACTCATGCTGCACAAGAAGTTGCCTGTACTGGTGCAGCTTGACTGGCACTGTGGCCCTGACTCGGACCAGTGCCTCTTTCTGTTGCTTTAGCTGAGCCATGTTTGCTTCGACTTCATCGCGAGGCATTTCGTTTATCGCGTTTTGGAAGGTTCTGGAAAAAAACATTGACAATTTGGTATTGATTTGCATCCATGGTATGGTCAATTCGTGAATTATGAGCACAGTTATCATTCTTAAACTTGACAAACTTGCTTTCAACACTATATAATGTGCAACGCTATTAGATCAAATCCATCAAATCAAAATCGTTTATTCCAACTAAACCATAAATAGGTACTTTTGAAACGTCAAAATAGAATAGTAGTCTGTCAGTCTGTTCCTCAGTGAACCTAGGTGCTCGTTCCAAATTGTAGTTTCGAATGGAGAAGAACGACCAAGAAACTCCATCTGATCAGACTAATCCGACATTGGAAACCAACCTGCTGATGTTCTTGAAGAGTTCCTCGTGGTGCTCTATCTCGGAGTTGAGCTGCAGTAGATGGTCGATGTACGCCTGTATGTCTGCGGTATGGGCGCGCGGCGTCCGCGCCAGCGCGTCGTGCGCGGCGGCCAGCCAGGCGGCCAGCGCCTGCACGCCGCCCGCCAGCTCGCGCCGCCGCCGCAGCGCGTCCCCGCCGCGGACGTATCTGCGCGCAACCACACTTCTGAGCTTTGGAACTGGTTTAAATCTTTTATTCAATTATAGCAGTTTTGAATAGGAGGCAAGCAAGCAGACGTATCATCTAATAGTAAAAGGTCATTGCTACCTATGGATACCCGCAACACCAGAAAGAACAGGCGCCGTGCTGGCTTTTTTAAGGCGTACGCACTTTTCGAAAATACCGCCGCCGAAATATCATTCTAAATTTTAGCTGTTCGAAGCAGAGCGAAAATCGCACAGTTCTTGACTTCCAACCATCCATATGATGAAGATGAAAGTGTTAACTTTCGATGACATTTTCCTGAGAAATGTGAGCACGACCGATGTATAAAGTATCTCCCGTACTGTTATTTGCATGAAAATGAATGCCACTGTTTTGCAACATGTCATTGGAGGTTAACGGAGGAGCAAGGTGGGCGCTAACGCGCTACCTTGAGAGACACCAGCGATCACAGACAAAGAGTCAGGGCATTGACCGACCACAAACTTTATGCTTCTATCTGCAAGGAAACTGGAAACCCATTTGCAATTTCCCAGGAAGCCCATAAGAAAGAAGCTTCGGAAGAAGCACTCATGTCAAATCCAATCGAAGGCCTTTACTAAGTCCACACTGACTGCCATGGCCACTTCTATGTGCCTAACGGTGTGTCAGACAAAATAGATCACCAGCGGACCGACCCTTACGAAAACCGTACTGTCGGTCACTAAGAATGCTCCAAGTACCGAAGAACCTGGCAGCTAATGATGGACTCGATTATTTTCGAAGAAGGATCTTATGAATAGAAGAGGGATCTTATGGCTATCGTTCTGTAGTAGGACGAATTTGTACTATCACTCTTTTTGGGGATCGGGTGTACTAAAGATGTCTTCCATGATATCGAGACTACGCCTGAAGAGTGAGAGAGCCAAAAGAATGGCTCAAGGCTTAAGACTATTATTATTATTAGTTATGTGATATCTATTCGCGCCGAAGAGTTACGAGCGACTTAGGAGAGTCATGCCACACTTAAAATTATGTCCATGTAGTTAATCATTTTTAGAATGGTACTTTTACGGCCACCAAGTTTATGTGATAATGACAATATTTATCATACATAATGGCAATGCATCAAAAAAAAATACCTACGTAAAATAAATATTTTACTAAATAAAATAAAAAAATCATGATAATATCATATAAATGAATAATTTACAACTTAACATTCTTAGAATACACTGATATAATATCATGAATTGGTAAGATTCAGTTCTTTGTAAGGATTAGATAAAGCAATGTTTTATCAGAGTTATGTAAATATTCTCAGAAATGAGTATATGACCACATTTGTTTACAGTTCAATATTTTGATCTTGATAAATGACATATCTGTTAACGTTATTATAGTTAAATATAAATTAATAAAAAAGGTTTACATACCTCTCAGCTTCCTCCCAAACACGTTCCCAGCGTTCAGTGATTTCTACATACTTTCTCTTCACTTCCTGGCTGATCTCTTCTGAGGAGGTCGCCGCCAGGAATCCAGCCGCATCACCCAGCAGCTGGTGCTTCTCCTTCCAAACTGTCAGGTCGTGGAAGAACTCCAGTCTCTCGTCTTCTGATACTCTCAGCATGTGTTGTGCTTTGTCTAGCCAAGTTGTAAAGTCATCAGCTAAAGTGTTCCAACGCTCCCAGTGAGCGATGACTTCCTCTAAGACACTCCTCGCGCAGCGCACGTCCGACGCGACGCGTCTCCACGTCTCGGCGACATCTTTCAAGAACGTATCAATATCCCTTGCTTCAGTCCTATCTACTTCACACACCCTCTTGTATTCTTCCGCTACTTGCTTAATATCAACATAAGCTCTATCAAACTCCTGGAAAATCTTATTCTTAGTCACGAAATTATCATAATCTTCTAATAAGGCACGAACGTGGTCGATGCGACCGTATTTGCCGGTCCACGCGGCAAGCTTGGCTTTAGTCAGCTCTGTGAAAGCTACAATACAACATTTGTGCTCCAAGTACTTTAACCTAGCCTTTCTCTGTGGAGCTCTTCGACTCACTGTCTCGAGTCGCTCCTTCATGTCTTGGAGTCTTTCACGGGGTATTCTTGCGGCGTCAGGTGATCTTAAAGCCGCTTCGAATCTTTCAATAACTTCAGGTAATCCAGCGAAGAAGCCGCTGTGTTCCTCTAACTTCTCGCTAATAATAGCAGCGGTCCTCTCGTCTAAGCTAGTGGGGATTTCGTCAAAGTATAAAAGGTACTCGGCCTTCGCTAACCATTCGCCGACGTTTCTAAAGTCTCCGGGGAGTTCTGCGTCTAAGAGCCACAGCCATCTTCTGTGCAGTCTTTCTAATTCTATCCAGAGGGAGACAAGTTCGCGCCACGACTTTGGCGCGATCGCTACAAGGCTCTGCGTGTACATGAGTTTCTCTAGTTTCTGGTAGATGGGTTCCCGCGCGAGCCGTTCGTTCTCAGCGCGCACGTAATCTTCGTAGTGTCGCGAGAGTGTTCGCGAGTCGTATTGCCTTTGAACTGTGGTGACGCGCTCCGTCAGCCACATTCTAAGAGATTCGTACTCCTCTTGCACTGCCGCTACGGCATCCGGTCCTGTCGTCTGGAGAGGAAACAAAACATACATATTGTGTAATGATGAACACTTGTTCAAACATAAAATAAAACAATACGTTTGTGAAGTATGACTTGTCACGGTGATTCACGCTAATCACGTGCGTTGGCTGTTTAATTCTAAAGCACGCATTAGTTATGCTAATGTATTATTACTTTACTCTTTATAGGTTGGATATAATCGTCTCTAAAATATAATAGACAATAGTTTCCATACATTCAAATTAACTTTTGTAATAAGTTGTGCTGCTTACCTTGGGTTCAGGATATTTGTGCAGGAACTGGGCTACGTATGTCATGATAGACCTTTCATCAGGCTTGTCGACATCCACATCTTCGGCGTCCAGTAGCCTGGCGATGCCGAGTGCGGTTTCTGCGACGTCGAACGCATGTTCTAAACGTTGTCTATTGGTCTTCCTCTTCATCTCTGCTAGATTGATAAGGTTCGCCTTGATGGCGTCGATGATGGCGAGGAACGCAATACCATCGCGCCATGAGGGACCGAAGTCTGTTACTTGGATGTTTGAATCCCTGAAACAAGATTTAGTGTCATTTGCCTGAGCCATGAGGGGAATCTCACTAAAATCTTTACGCAATGCATTTGTGTACGTGGTAAAACTATTGTGGGTAATTTTAGGTACACAAGAAGTGGCATTGTCTGTAGTAGATATATGTACATGGAATAGTACGACATATCGATCTTATTATATTATTGAATTTAAACAGTAGCGTGTCTGTCTGATAAATTTAATTTGCTAAAAAGAATCATGTTAATGCAATCATTTCAACAAGGAGATCAAAATATATAATCAGTGTAAAATAAAATTACGCCAACGTATTTCTCGGGCCACTTGGCAACGTTCAGCTAAATTAATAATGGAATTAATAACTACTAGAGCTGTCATAGCTATTGACGTCAAAGCTGTCAAAATTATTTAGGCCACTGGGTTCCTGATACTGTTACATCTAACGACATTCGTATATTCTGGTTCTTGTATTTGAGAGTTAAGAAAGATAATTGTATGAAAATATTTAATTGATAGTAGATATATAATAATTAATTGATAGAGACAACGATTTGTTCAGTACAGAGGCCCTACCATCATGATGATACCGGGCGAGAAAGAGGGATGGAGCTAAACACCTTTTATATCTCCATCCCTCTTTCTCGCCCGGAAGACTCACGCAATAACACGTCATGGTAGACCTACTGTAATTGAACATGAATTGCAACTGCTGAAGTGATCAACAGAATGAGGTGATATGAGGTGTCGGGGCTTGATTTTGAATTTTCAATCATATATTTACTGCCGCGACACGCTCGCTGTATGTCAATAAAAGCCCCGATGTGAATTGTAGAGCTTTTCTCAGCTCAATCACGTGACTAAGTCGTTAATTACAACTAACAGTGTAACACGATAGTTGCTATTAACAATTTTTGCTCATAATTATGTTGCCGAAATCTGTGCGGCAACAAAGGGGCAGAACCGAAATAAAAATTTATCCAAAAGTTATTTAGAAATGTTTAATATTAGAACAGACAGACAATCAGACATCAACACAAAAGTAAAGTAATAAGGTCAATATGGAACATTCTGTATACGAAGCAGTAAAAATGCTTTCAATTTCTGTAATGACTGATGTTGATTACAACACAACTGTAATTGGTGCATCGGTCGATCCATTCCAAATATTAACAAACAATGCCCTATCTATATCTGTAATCCATTATGCCAAGAATGGACGTCTTGCACAAATTGTAAACCATAATGGTATTACGATAGATATTTCTCTAAGTTACGATGACGTTGGTGCGATTTTTTGCCCATTTTATTTAAAAAGAAGATGACTAGGCTATCTTTCTTCAAAAATTAAGTATCACCGTTTTATTTGGCATTTGATTATCTTACTCTTAAATAGTAGGTATACATAAAACTCACTTCGGTAATGCGTTGGCGACCCACTGTAGCAGGGTCTTCTTGGCGCCTTGCTTCCACTTCTCTTCAGCTCGCTGAGTCGGGGTGGCCGCACCCGACTCATGAGACATCACTGACGCACATCGAGACCCTCCTAGGTACTCTAGAGCCCGGCTGTTCTCCTCGATCTAAGATATTCAACATTTTATTAGTATTATTCTATGATACAAATTCACAACATGTATATTATTAATCTTGGATTCAGTAGCAGAATTTTGGAATCCATGAACGTTAGCAGTTTGAATAAAATATGCAGTGCAATCTTTAGTGACATTAGCGAAGATATCAGTTTCGCTAATATTAGTAATCGGGGTGTACTAAATAAATATATGAATAAACACTGTATGACATGAAAAATATTTTTTTGTGAAAAGTTATGCATCTGTGTCATAAGACAGATCCTTTTATACTTATTTGTTCTCTAAGATACTTCAATTTACAACCATTTAATATAAACAGGAGAATGGCATTCCTGCATTGGGCATTACTAATTATTTCTTCAGACACATTGCCTTTGGGGCAGGTCCGCAAGATGTCAAAAACACTACTTTGCGATTCAAATCTGACCTGCTGATAGCTTTTTGTAGACATACCGTGAACTGTCAATCGATACATAACCTGTTTTGACGAAACATTACTTACTAACAGCTAAAACGTGTTGATTTACGTAAATGAATAAATTGACTAGCGATAATGCTATTTGTAGAATTAAATTATGCGGCAAAACTGACAACGGATCGTATAAAGACATTAAAAAATTAGCATTAAAGAAGTGATAATATTTGGACATAATTGAGGAAGTCGAAAAACTGCATTAAAAACATACAAATAATAAACCTGTATGTAAATTCAACGTCTAGGAAGATAACAACTCAATGCAAGCATTGGCGCCAGTCGCTGTACTCATTACGTAATCAACTATTGTTATTAATTCCTCCCACACTTACGCCGAACCTAAGTGATTTAAAGTGATGACAATCACACGCTTATAATCTAAAGGTGAAGTGATTAGCGATTCCAATTGTGCCGTCAGTGATTCTATGTCCAATCGTAACAAACAATTTAGTCAACCAATAGCAGTACTAGGTAGTCCATGGTCTTTGGCTTTGATAAACAAATATAAGTAATGGATTAAGAAAATGCTTAGCCAAATAAAGCTTTTAATTATACTAAGCATAAAAAATTAATAGGTATCAATCAGAATATGTTTGGACAAAAGCACTGAATGTAAGGAATATCGTAGAGGCTAAAAATTTAACTAAGCTGAACTTCAATGGTCAAGCAATTAAAATGAATATGGCAATATATTTGCTAATTTATATTGTTTTATAGATAGTAAATATTTAAATGCCAAGAGACCAGACTACTTTAAAAGCTGTGATGCCATTACCCACCTTAGGTCCTCTATCCTGTGGGTCCAATATATTGAGCGAAGCTTGCGCAAACAAAATTAGTTCAAGCCAATTAAAATGAGAATAGACTGGGTATAACAAAAATAAATTCGAACAAGAAACATTCTTAAAAAATCTAAAATGTATCCCTTTATAGTTTATCCTCATTTTAATGGTATGTAAATAGTATTAATATTAGATACAAGTTACTAAATAGTGCAACTACTTTAGTAAGGGGCGGTTATAGAGAAGGAGTAAACGGTAAATAGTCATAAAACAATCAGGGCAAAATACAATGCTGACAGATAAGGCTAATAGTCTGCTATTGGCTGTTGTTATTAATATAATTTAGAAAACCAATTTACGTCCATACTATGAATGACAATGTATGGAAATGAGAAACCAAAGAAACCAAATATGGAAGAGTGTAATTGGAGGTTTCATTGAAGCAGACTATGATACACAATCTAATTATAACTGAAGTAGTAGACATTTTAAATTTTAATGATCATAGTGAGTATAAATATTACACAGATGAGACCATCGATAAAGATAGCTTAGACATTAATGATCTTATTCAACAATTGCAGTAAAACTTTTTGACAGTGAAGAACTATTCTACCTACTCATTACTGTGGTAGTTCTATCCTAATTGAAGTCTAATTTTGAACACACAGTGATTAGTGAACAGTGAGTCAGAATAGTGAAATGTAGGAAATACAATACAGATTTACTTTCTAATGTAATTGGATAATTTTGAAGTTAAATTGATGTATATATATAATTCAAAACTTTCGAGAAAGTGTTTTGTTAATCGATTTTTACGTAATTTGATATTAAGAATTATTGAAGGTGTAATTTGATAGGAAATGTTTGTTCTTTGTTCATTATTAAGATTAAAGGTGTTGGCCGTTTTACTTTCAATAAGCCAAAAATATTTTAATTGTCATTAATTATTAAGAAAGGGAATTCTGTTAGAAATAATTTCCTCGTTTTATAGATCACTAACATAAATGAAGTAAAATGTATTAGTATCGTCACAATATAGATCAAAACCATTATAGTTCTCTGTTCATTCGTTAACCAGGAAGAGCATCTAACCTGGAAGTAGAGGATGATGGTCCAGATAAGACCAAGAACGACCGCAGGCCGTCCATCCACTAGGTCGGCTGCATTGATGTTCACCAACTTGATCCTTTTGCCGGCTAAGAAGCGCAGTGCAGTGTTCGCGTTCGACAAGAAGTGCGGGCGTCGGAGGACGCGGCCTCTTTCCATAGGCTGAGAAAAAAAAATATACGTAAGTAAATTATTTGTTATAGCTATAACACCGGTACGAAGTTTAGTATGGCTATTTGTAACGGGATAAAACATGAAGACTTTTAGGAGAGTAAAATATCTTAGCAAATTTCAATATTCATCAAAGTTCGAATTGATTCATGCAAAAAGTGTTTTATCAATAATAGTATTTGAAGATTCCCAAGAGCCATTGTCACTCAATAGGTTTCGGATACATTATTTTGTTTTAAGTTACATCAAAGTAAGCTGAGGACGAGGCGTCAAGATCATCATCATCATCGTATCAGCTACAAGGCGTCCACTGCTGATTATTGGAACATTCTAGACCTGCGACTGACATCCAGCAGCTTAATTCGTTGCAGCTAACATATACTTAAAGGATAAATGAATAAGGTCTCACCAGTTTCTCCCCGGACAGCACTTCGAGCAGCGCCAACAATTTGGTACCATCTCGTAGGTCATATATGAGGTCATCGATACGCAGTGGTGGTATGCGCTAGAAGAAAGAGACTCATTTCATATATAGACTATTTATAAGAAGAAAAATATAAATTTTCCTAGATCTGTTAAAAGTATGAGAAGGAGATATATCGGAGATTTCTTTTTCCTTTTTATTAGGACTACATTGGAGTTAGGTTTGCGTGTGTTGTTCTTTTCAAGTGAAGCGAAGTAAATTCCTACTGTAAATTAGAATTATTGCGAATTAAGTCAGAAAAAATATCGTGGAAAATATCAATTGTCAATACGGCGTACCGCATGGTAAGGCAATTTCTTTTTCCACTTAATAAAAAAATCAAGTGTAAGTAGATTGTATGATAATATTACTCGATATACACTTGAAAATGTACAATAAATTTAGATAAACAGTGGTTATGATTAAATCGCAACACTTACCTTCGATAAATGTGAGTTGATCCAATTGACAAATGTTTTCTTCTGTACTCTTTCCTGTTCATCTGTAACAAGAAAAATTAAAATATTAGAGATATGTCTCTTAAACTTAAACAAAAACCAAGAAAATAAACACTAACGTTCTAACTACGAAGCCTTTAACAAACGAAAACTAAGTAATTGTTATATAAATCAGAGTACAGCAATAAAATCAGGCTTACTATTCATTAACTTCTCAATCTTGAATAACCATAAATAACAACAAATGTGCCATAATTTGAATTGAATTGGAACAGTTATGGCTATGAAATACAGCATAGGGATAAAAATAAAAATATGAATACAAACTATTATTCAAATAACGCAAGTCCCGCCAAAATACGATAAAAAACAAATGAAACCCCTAAACCAAAGTAAAGTAAGACACACAAATAGCTTTTAAAACAGATGATAGCTATAATAAAAAATTGTTCCCTAATGCTTAACAAGCCCATAAAAGCAATGAAATATATAAAGGGATTACTGAGAAGTGTATAAGATAGTTTTGGCACGTTGTTTAATGGAGTAGGCCAGATTTGGCACAGAGCTAGCGAACTAAATCACAATGGCATGAGTCACTTTCTCTACACCAGACGCTAAGTTCACTGCTCTAGGAGTACTAGGATTAAGGATGTTAGTGTATAAGAAATACTATCCTATATGTATCGTATGCGTTTTAAAGCTTGATTGTTTTGTTTCTTTACTGGTTATAAGGCTTATTTGCGCTGTTCATGCATAAATGATAAGTCATGTATATGTTTAAAAATTTCCATTTTTTAAGCACTTTGTCATGGGCTTTTCCCATTGGGACATATCTATTTCTTAAGTATTTTGCGATGGGGAATACAATAAGAACAATTTTAATGTTTAGCATTTTAGTTATTTCATTGTTTTTGCTTTGCTTTTTCATAAAGCATAAGATTTCACTAGAAGACGTGAAATCAAAGCGAAGGAAGAGTTTTTAAAAATTAAAGAAAGTTAGTCGATCCATAGCAATTCAAAAATAAATTAGACTGATTCTCATGACATACTATTTTTGACCTATGATTTAAAGCCTTATAGACTTGTACTGTCGATAAACTAATGAACATAAATGGAGATGCTAATCTTGCAGTAGATGGACGAGTAAGACTTTGCCTAGTCAATCACGAAGCAATTAATGTTGCAAGCTTTAAAACCCATCAATTAATCACAGCAGAAGTTAATAACGGAAATAAAGCCGATATTAAATAAACATGCAATGATATTATCAGAATTCTATTTGTAGTTTATGAGTTCATAGACTCCAGCCAACAGAGCTAATATTTGGCGATTGCGTTATAAGGATGTTGATAGATTCGTACAGTGTTGCCTAAACGATCTCAGGGTTATTTTTAACTGAAACAGGTGCTTAATATGCTTTATTAACAATCTGTGAAAAGTTAAAATGCAAACTGTTCGCAGCTTTACACAAAGGGTACTTAATACTGGGTTTTTTTGTGAGGCTACTAAATTGCTTACTTCTGAAGGCCAGTAGAAATGAGTAAGGTCATAGATGTAGTATCTTCAGTTTTTCTTATTTAGATATATCAAAAGCCTATCCTGATTTTAAGCAGTGATGCAATCGTTGACATTGTTGTTTTGCCAACTGAAAATACTCCAGCCTATTAATGAAAAGTCTACATGTACAATTGGATTAAAGATGCAGCCGATTAATGACAAACCACTTCAAGAAATCTACACAACCCGCTTAAACCAAACCAGTCAAACTTAAAAATATGGAATATTTCATAAACTTTCAGAGTTGTAGTAAAATACCAAAATGGATCAACAATTTTCCTAAACGCATTCGTTGTACGGGTTCCTACAGATCCCGTCAATTATCAGTCACGCATATCTGTCTTTGAGTTGTAAGTCGGAAACGAAGGGTCGCACGCATGGTACAACCAGACACGGCCAATGGCCCATCTTTGGATCGGAACCAGGGCTGATAAACATTGTTCCTTAAAACTCTTAATTGAGAACGTGGTGAAGAATTTTTAACATTAAACTTACATAGCCTTTTCGTAATTCTTCACAAAATCCTCATAAAAATAAACTTGATACAGTCACACATCTTCTTACAACTGCTTAACTATGGTAACTATGGGTTCAATCTACATAAAGATGATTTTGCCACAATCAATGGAGATCTCAGGCTAAAAGAACCAGGGACATCAAGGAAAGCTGTGGTAGAGTTTTTGTCGGTTTTTGCGATACCTGCGGAACAAAAATTCTACTTAGTATTCTCCAATAGGCATAATCTTTTTAAATACTCTAACAATTTGAAAATGGTGAATCAATTCATGTTTCCTTTATCGAAGCAGCCCTATATTTTTACGATCAATTTCATAACAGTGATCGCGTGCCAGATTATCCTATGGGTAACCTGTTCTTATTTAGAGCCACATTTTTCTTTGTCAACGATATTATCAATGCAGATTGTATACTTCATGCCATTTCGGAAACACGTCATGTTTGCTTTTTTTGCTTCCATATTAGTACTAGAAACATCTATATTTTTATTTCTCAAACTCTCTCGTCAGTCACTATTTCTTGGCGTCTGCCGACATAACCAGCTGAGTCGCTGAATCGTAGCTTAGTTTATTTTAAACTGTGTAATGTATTCCCTTTATTGTATGTATTATTGCTTATCGTTTTAATTTTAATTCATAAAGATGTAGTCTTAAGATTGGTTCTTACTTTTAAGATTACGTTTTCCTACTGCTGAGCAATGGCCTCTTCTGACACGGAGAAGATTTGAGCATTAATCACCACGCTTGCTCAAGGCAGATTAGCGAGGTTTCCTCACGATGTTCACCTTCGCCATGATATTTTGTCAGTGGTATTTCAATAATCATAGAAAGTACATATAAATCGGAAAAAGTGACATTATTACTTGCCAGATTTCGAACCCTCATGCACGAGAAGTAGGCGCCTTAACCTCCGGGCTACCATGAACTCAAAACCACAAAACTGACGGGTGATTTTTCAAAAGTCGCATAAATGTTATCTAAGGAATAAAATTGTTGCTGTCACTGTCTTATAGAAACATTCTGACGCAACAGAATCATTATTATTCCCCAGATAACTTTTATCTAACCATTGAAAAATCATCCCTGAACCGTAAAAACAAAGTATGCCTAAATAGGTAAACTTTGCAACCTACTTATCATGTGTAGACAGTCGTAATTTAACACAGGTACGTTAAACAGTTAAGATAGGAACTACCATATCATTCTAATCAGATATGACCGAATTCCCAATGAGGGCAGCTCCGAACACCAGCCAAGCAGACATAATAAACCCTTCGCGAGCTACAATTACAACTTGGAAAACATTAATTTTGAAGTAAATTTGTGTACTTAATTAGACGTTGCTTCCAATTATAATCGCAGGGTTGTTAATACGAAACATTAAAGTACAATGAATCAGCAAATCTATGTTTTCCAAAACTTATACGTGTAGAACTGTTAAAGTTCTTCCAGACAGATTGAAAAAATATTTCTATAAGTACGAACATAGATTTACAATCTCTAGTTATTATACTTTAAAGCTTCTAAGTATCGTATTCGTATACAAGCAATTTTTTTTTCTTTATCTGCCTTAGTAGATTTTCAATTTTCATATCCTGTAGGTAATCACTGCCGGACTCCTTTTCTTTTTCTTTAAAAAAAAACGTTGCGCCACACTAAGATTTTCTCCTGTGTCGGGGATGCGTTTACAAACACAAAATTTCACATACACATCACACCCAGACCCGTAACAACACTTCGTGGATCACACAAAGAGTTGTTCCGGGTCAGGTTTTAGCTTACGGGTGAGTAAATTAAGTGTGGGACAGCCATGCTGCGGCACGAATGGGTCGGTTCGACCGGAGTGATACCACGGCCTCACAGAAAACCGGCGTGAAATAACCACAGCGTTGTGTTTCGCCGTGTGAGTGAGGTTACCGGAGGCCCAATCCTTCCCCTCCCCCAGTCCTTCCTAAATCCCTAAATCTCCAAATCCCTAATCCTTAAAAGGTCGGCAACGCACTCGTAACTCCTCCGTTGCGAGTGTCCATGGGCGGCGCTGATTGCTTACCATCAGGTAATCCGTCTGATCGTTGCCGACCTATTTAATAAAAAAAAAAAAATTAAGTAACTATACACATGTTGTTTTCAGTCAACCTTCGACAAAGCCACACCCTAACTCGACATCCAACCATGCACCCTTTAGTTACAAATGAGCTTCATACATAACTGGCGCCGTATGACGTCACATGTCATTAAAATGACCATGGCCGCCACACTATCTACGGTAGATATAGCCCTGACTATAATGACCTTAGCCGATACAAATACATTGTTTAAATAACAGGTAACGAGTTTTAGAGTGGTTTCTGACATATCTGTATAGAAATATTTGTGTATGCTATGGCTTTTACTCATCCATCATCATGATCAGCCTATAAGTGCCAACTGCTGAGCAAACGCCTCTTCTCACGTGAGGAAGGTTTGAGCATTAATCACTACGCTTGTACCAGGCGATTTTAATAAAATATTTTTATGTTTAGCGATTCTTTACGAAAAGTGTTTTATTAATTGGTGGCTGCTCTACTGTTCTGGGTATGCATCGGCAGCATATTGCTTACTATCAGAATGATACACCTCGCTTGCCCCATATACTATTAAAAACATGGACTATTGTGCCCGATACCTTTTTTCCAATAAATAATGATTATTGGAAAAAACATCAAAATCTGTTTAACAGTTTAGAAGTAAAGGCATTGAACAATGAAACAATGAATTATTTTTGTAAATAGGCTATTAAACAGCACTTTTACACGTCAAATTATATGTAAAAAACTAGATGAAGCCGGCATTTCCTATTTGACTACTCTGTGAAGAAATGCCGAAACAGACTCAGAGGTCCGTCTTTCATCATTACATACAACCTCATTATCAAATTCAGTTAATAAGGCAGATGTACTACACGTGTGCATGTTATTTACACATTTTACTAA